AACTGGTAGGGAAGGTAAGTGACTACCACCCCTGACTAGAATAAATCAAAATTAAATTCAGACAGCTGTGCAGAAAGAAGAAATATTGATTCCTAAACACTAGGAGTTTACTTTTAGGCACAGCTGCTACAGAGAAATGGGGCACAGTAACAAAGGGAGATTTAAACAGGGAGTTTGTCCTGGGTGCGGAAATGTCTACATCACAGTGTCAAACTCGCAGTGTCACGTTGCTGTCACGTGACGTTTTGCGACGTTTTCCCCGTTCGCTGAGCTGGGGTGGGCGTGGCCTGCATGTGACACATCCAGCCCATGGGCTGCCATCTTGACACCTCTGGTCTACGTGCTGATTCTAGGGTGACACTTGAGGTGTGTGTTTGTGTGTGTGTGTGTGTGTGTGTGTGTGTAGGTCACTTATGATGCTTATTCTTGTGAATATGCAGTTCCACTGGGAGACCTAATTTAATTAACTCTATGTTCCCAGACCTTATCCTTTAATATGTCGATTAAGTCTGGGTACCTTATTTGGGGTTTTGAGGAAGTTTGAATAAAAGATCCCTCCCCCTGTTTGCTATTTTTACACGATTAGTTTCAGCTTGACTGTCAATTATCTCTAGTGGCGTTGCTGATTCTCCTTCCATTTGGATTCTGCTAATGTTTTAAGGGAAGATGGAAACGGTATAAAGAATAAAAGATATATTTGATATAAAACCTCTCACAAGGCACTGCCTATTTCTTGGCCTGCCACTCAAAATTGTAAAAAGGCCCATGCACCAGAATGATCCTCTGCTTTTTAAAAAGCGAGAGAAGCGCTTATATTTGAGGCTGTACATAGCTCGGAAAGGAAAGAGAATAAATGAGGAAGTCTATTATGTGTTTCAAGAGTGACCGCTTCTCCAAACTAGCTGTTTCTCTGCCCAGTTAAATCTGCCAGGGCATCACAAGTTATGATTTTTGGCCAGTGCCAGAAGCAATCCTGAATCAAAGTACGGTACTTGCAGAGAAGTAAAACAAGGGAGTGATGCCAAGTGCTTACAGCCTGCTTTTCACTCTCCCAGAAGCTTCATGAGGAAGAACGGGCATACAGATCTATATCCTACCCCCCATCCCAATTACCCTTGTTTGCCTTTTCAGGAGCTACTGCACGCAAGTGTCAAATAGAAGAGAACAATATCTGTTTTCACAGGGGAAATCCAAGGAAAATCAACCTGGTCACTTTAATAATAGAGATAGTTAGACCTTCTGGTAACCATATATTGCAACGTGTGCTTACTGGCCCTAATTCTTCTTCTCTGGAGGCTTTCACTATTGCTTTCTTTCATCTGCCAATTGAAATGCATTCGATTTACAACTTGTCCGCCACAACTTTCCCTTGCATCTGACAATTCACGACAGGGATTGAATGCTGAGTAGACAGGGGTCCCTGAACTCTGGGCAAAATAATCAAGGTACAGATGGGGTAGAAAGGCAGACAATAAGGCCCGGGAATAAAGCAGCCATGGTTTCATTTTCTTTTGCAATTTACTGTTGTGACGGGCTATGTGGTGTCGGAATGAGTGGCTTGTGGGCTCAAGGGAAAGTCTTGGTCTTGCAGCCAAAAACTACGGCAGTGCATTGGACCCTGAATGTCCTAAACCCAAGCAACTTAAGTGAGAAACCTGGTGATCACATTACATCAGTCATTATTTGATCTAAACACCTCAACGTCTGAACCAGCCTTTGCTGATTTGACTTCTCTGAGAGATTAGACCATAACGTTTGGACAACAGCTTCCATTGTCCCCAAACCATTATGGTTCTTGGGCTCCTATTAGCCCAGCTGGTATGGACATTAGTTGTGGAAGTTGAGGGATATTGGGAATGGTAGTCCAATGAATCTGGAACAATACTGAAAATGACTGCAATGCATCAGGGTTTGACCAGCATTTTACTATTGTTGGAAGAAATATACATCTGGTTCTGTTCCAAGTGGGGAGAAAGACCCTGGAAACATGGAGGCTGATTGGAAAGATGGTTTATTGATGGACAGGACAACATGGGTTTGAGGTCCTGGGCAGCTGACCACATAGAGTGGAGAGTGAGGGTTATTTATACTCTTTCTCAGGCTTTGCCCTTGAGCTTCCTGTTCCTGTGCAAGAAATGTATTCTATTGGCTGTAATCAGATTCCCATGGGGCCATGTGGGGTCAGTTTGACTGAATCAAGTTTGGTCGAAGCCTGGAAGGTAATGCAATGTCCCCAGGTGAGTTTGCAATGCAGTGAGCTCTGCTGCTAGATAATCATATTATGTCCAGAGGTTCATGTCTTAATGCCATCACCCTGGATCTGAAGATCTTTTGTTTTGTAGATAGACTGGCCCAGTCCTTTTCAATGGACACCAAATATCTTCTGGTGGCAAACAGCTGAAGCTCTGAGTTTCTGTCTCCTTTAAGATTTCNGGAAGGAAGGAACACAGATATGGAAGGAAGGAACACAGATAATGAAGGAATAATAGATGGATGGAAAGAAGGGACAATGATATGGGAGGAAGGTAGGAAGGTTCACTGAGGGGAATGCATTGACTTTCTGAGTTTCTAGAAACAAAGCTATGTATTTATTGCCACACCCACCAAGTCTACAAGAGTTAGCCAGCAATAAGATAGCCAGAAAATGGATCTTCTACCTTGGTGGCTGCTAACAACAATTTGGAGCTGATGTGAACACCAAACTCTTTTAAGTTTTCAAGGACGATCTGTCTGAATCAACTTCCTCTGCTGGAATGAGTTCTAGAGGTACAGCCATCAAGTTCCAGAGTCCTCAGGGATGGCATGCTGGCTGGGGACTCCTGAGAGTTGGAAGTCCACATCTATCCTGAGGGCACCCAGATTGGGAAAACGTTATTCTCAAGGACATCAAAGGCAGCTTTTGCAACGAGAAAGCTCATGATGGCTGCTTGTGATCTAATGTTCATGAGATCTTTGGAAAGCAGAAGGAAAGCGACTTGGATACTGGTGTATGCAGTATGGATGCTGAAGACTCTGTTGAAGCAAACTTGTCTAATGCTCACCAAGAAAGTGGAGATACTAAATCTTGCTTCACTAGTTCTTGAAGAGCAGAGTCAATTCCCTGGAGATCAATTCCCTCGATCTAAGGAAGGGCTCAAAATGTCTTGCTTCTTTCACTTGGGAGCTCGCTTTTGCACCATCCAAAGGACCATGGGTGGGTTCATTCCAAAGAATTTATTTTTGTCTGAACATATGGATATGGATCGCAACCGTATGGATGAATATGTGCTGTCAGACACTCCAAAACATGCAAGCGGGGCCAATTACACCAACGATGGTCCAGTGGAAACTTCTCAAGAAGATGAGATTGGGAGGGTGGGAAAGGAAGAAGAAACTAGCATCCTAGCATCCAAGATACTCAATTACTCAATTATCCTGGGATTCGGGGTTAACTGCTTCCATGATTGTTAGTAGGCTAAGCCCTCCCATTGTCATCCAAGTGGAGTAAGAGTTGGTAGGACATCCCAGCTGCCTTCGGAAGATGGTTAAGCATTCCTCCTCCTTCTCATGCCTCACACAGACAAATGGACACACAACACATCCACACAACCCATGCATTCGTCTTCATAATGTCAGTACGGTGGTGTACCAATTGTCCAATGAGGATATGTCCATTCTTCTTCTTGTTGTTGGAGACATGGCTGATACTTTAAACCACCTTCTCTTTATATTATAGGCAACAGGTCAGTCTGCGAAAAGAGGCTGGAGAAGACGAGACTCATTTCTCACGATCTTCTGTGTAGTGCTGGAAACGCGTGAAGCTCATAAAGACTTGCTCCAAGGAGATTTGGCTGACGGAGTAATCTTCTATGCAATACTTCTCTTTGGCTTTCTCCAGGGTCCCAAACACCTGGGAGACGCAAGACACACGGGGAGAGAAAGGGGTAGTTAACAAACCACAGCCTTCACCCAAGGCTTAGAAACTTGTAAGATCTCAAGGCCAGTGTGGGAAAAGGAGGTTGGAATTAGAAAATAGAATAACATAGTTGGAAGGGACCTTGGAGGTCTTCTAGTCCAACCCTCTGCTTAGGCAGGAAACCCTATACCACTTCAGACAGATGGTTATCCAACATCTTCTTAAAAACTTCCGATGTTGGAGCATTCACAACT